CCCATCTATCCATGTATTAACCAGGGTGTTTGAATTGGTATCGAGAACTTTACTTTAAGCATACCTTGTATATCGCAAAAACTATCGTCCTGCCTAACGTGGTGAACAGAGAAAAGTTCATAAGGATTTACAAAATTTTCACTTAGAAAAGAATAGTATTTCTGGTTCAAATAACACAACAAAAGCGACCGCAACGGATCAAATCAAGGCATTTCAAAAACGAAAGTTCGTTCTACCGTGAGAGCGGTCTGTATATAAATCGCACCTTGAAAACAATGCACATATTGTTCTCGGTTAAACTACTTGCAATAATTCACACGTGCACGAAACAGTGTGATACAAATAAAAGTTTTAACATTTCAACTCTTTCACCTCCACTTTTCCACTAAAACACATTTTATAGTACTAAATAAGCTTAAAGTTTATTTTAGATGTATATAACATAACAGATAAACACATACATTAAAATAGATTAAGCTGTTTAAAATGCGAAATATATTAGATTATTTTATATCACGGGGATCACGGATGCTGGAAAGCATCTGAAGTTCGGGCCATAATTAAAAGCAAATCAACTATAAATATCTTATTTTTATTTTAAATAGACGTAAGCTTTTCTTAACGTTTACGTAACATGTAACGTACGTTACGTTAAACCTAAACTAGGAAGTGGCCGGGAATTCCCCCCCCCTTTTTTTTTTTCGTTCTACGTTTAGAATGGGTAGTATTTCTAAATTCTAGCACCTTTTTATTTAAATGAAAGGGTGAGTAGTCGTGTGTTTTTCCAAGGGCGAAAAAAGCCCCCCCCCCCCCTTTTTTTTTTTTTTTTTTGGGGGGGTTTTTTTCCCCCCCCCCAAAGTTTAAACCTCACGCCGCCTTATCCTCTATATTAAAAAAAGAAAGCGAGTTGAGATTGACATTCCAATGGATAAGTTATTCAGCGAAGCTCAAGTGAAGTTTAAAAAAGTAGCTAAAATGAAATATTAGTATCTTTTAAATAAAACACTTTAACGGTTTAAAACGCGGTATATTGGTTAAACTTATTTGAAAATGATTTTTAACTTCGGCCCGACGTTTCGGATGCTTTGCAGCAGCCGTGGTCACGGGGAGACTCCATATTCCCCGTTAGTATAAGTTTAACTAATATATCGCGTTTTAAACCGTTAAAGTGTTTTATTTAAATGTGTACTACTCGCGTAAACTATAACAGTATTTTATATTAGTATCTGCTGTACTACATATTGCGCTTTTTTTAAACGCTTTGTCGGGTGTGGAAGCCCCAATTTGTGCAGTGAATTGGCCTGCATTGTTACCATATCGATTCACACCAGTGTCAACAGAATGCAGTATCCCTACTGACCTACATTTCGTCCAAGCCTCCCAAACACATTCTCTAATCGACTAACTAGCACCAAGAACAGAGGGAACGCACGGACAGGGAATATTGAAGTTGCCAGAATGATACGACGTCATAAAAATTTACGGTTACTATTATTGAATCACATTTAACGACATGTCGGAACTATAAACTAGATGATAAATTTCAATACAGCTTGTATTGGTACTTTTAAAGCTAGTATGAGTCATTTGAAAATTGTATCTACTGCCACGTGTTTGTCCTTTTAAATAATGTATGTTTTCATCCTTGATTCTATTTGTACATTACAATTAGTACATAAGGAAAAAAATATACATATAATTAGTAAATATACTTAATTATGTAACTATTACAGTAAAATATAAAGGTATAAAGCAATAACTAAACTATTATGATGTCATAAATAAATTAAATCTCAAAACTTGGAAGGAAATACCTATGTATATAATGTTAATTTGAAGGAGACAATTAATGTGTTTTATCCCTAAAATAAACGCCAAACGTGAAGAGTACTTTGATATTTAGTATTTGTCAAATAGGGTTTAACTTGTTTTTAATTAAACTTGAGTTAAAGTGACAGTGATGCTGAAAATTTTGGAGTCTTCGCCTATAATTAGACAAGGGTTTCCCTCACTGACAGTTGACGTCTATAGTTTTACTTCTTGTCAAACATGCTCGACACCTCTGTTTTTAATGAAATACTTACGTCACTCCTCAGATTTCAACGTAAAACAATTTGTTTTGTTATTAAGTTGGGGCACATAACTATGCAAATACCGCGGTATATTTTGCAAGTCGAAAGAGGTCGGCACATCCTATATTGAGCGTTCGGTGAAAATTAGCATTTCAGAGACACGTGACAAAATACCTTCACATCGGCTTAATGAACGAGGAACACTGTCATTACTTCCTTTACGAAGGTGTAATGATTTACATAAAACCCGGAAAGGACGAAATTAATTGTAACCTACATATTTCATTACAGTATTCTACGCAAATAGATTGCATGGATCTAAAATAAACGTAATTGTGAAGGCCCCAGTTTTTTCTGAAAATCAAAAATATTAGGAGCGGTTTACACCGCAGAGAGAACTTATAATTATGTAGTTTAAGTAAATAGATAAACTAATTAAATCAGATAATAGTACAGCACTACTATTGAAAGGCAAAGCACTTAAGTCCGTATTGATTGTTTACATTTAGACATTTACTTATTAATTAACAGTTATTACAATCTTGGAGTTCGGAATGGATAATAACACGGAAGCGAGGAAAGTTGGCAATGCTATTTCAAAGTTTAACACAGCGGAACTCGACCGGAGAGTCGCTAAATCTTGCTCTATAAAAATTAACAACCGCGCCTAGCGACCTTCTTTGTTAAATTAATGACTTTTTGATTTTGAGACTTAAAATATCTATACTCTATACTAATACATAATGCTGAAGAGTTTGTTTGTTTGAACGCGCTAAACTCAGGAACTACCGCTTCAAATTAAAAAAACATCTCTTTGTGTTGGTTAGAGCAATTATCGAGGAAGGCTAAAGGCTATAAAATATTGCCCTGTGACTAATAGGAGCGAAGAAAGAGCGGAATATGTGGTAAAAACGGGCAAAATTATTGATCTCTGTAGGTTTCCGATGCGTACGCTGCGAAAATGGTTCAAAATGTCCGCGACAGTATAGAATATAGATCTATCTCTTGAGATGAACTCGCAAGAACGACGGGACGCGTCCGATGACGTAGGTACAGTTTGCCCATAGAACTATTCCAACGTGGTAGTTAAAGAAGAAATAATGTTGTGTTATTTTTTAGCTAATATACCTTTATATCTCCATTATACAACTTAGACCTAGTTATTGTGACCTTTAAAGCTCATCACGAATTCACAAAGTTTCGAGTTAAATATCCTTGCTTATACTGTCTTTCCTTTTATACATTTTTATATAGCTTTATAGATCCAGACGATAAGACAGATAAAATGTCCCGACTCCACGCCAGGATTCTCTTCCTTTTGGCAGTTTTCCAAGTGTACGAACGGTATAGATAAAATAAATTTTTCCATCATAATTTATTGTGTCGGACAATCGAAATTACGTAATCGAGAAAATTATATTTTCACGTGTTTCATTAGAATTTTTTACTTTGATTAGCATAAATTTTATATTTTGCTCTGACGCCTGCAGCAGACTCTTGAATATTTTTCGAGAACCCTCAATGCTACTAAGCGGGCATCGCTCAGCTTTGTCAGATCCACCTCGAAGAATAAAAATTGTCGACTGCTCTTCAAGAGCAAGATGTCCGCCTACTCTCACTTACAGTGATACTGAATAAGATTTGTCTCTAAAGTTAAGAAAACAAGTCTCTTTTCTATCGCTCTTTTATATCATTATTTTGTAATGCCGACATGAAATTATGATTCGACACAACGTTTTCTTTTTAAGAGTATAAGAGAATATATAACAATTTAAAAAGTCGCTTGTTTTGTCTCTCTAAATAATTATATATAACTAGCGGTCTAATTAATGCACGTGTGAGCTAATTAAAACATATATTTTTTTGGAATTTTTTACAAGAAATTTGTATATGTATCCAATAGATTTTAATGAACAACACAAAATACAAGATTGTAAGTTCATACAGTGTTATCAAATGATACATTGAACATGACATGAAACAATTTACTGGTTCTTTCACTAGAGAAAGGCAACACAATTTTGAAAGTTTGGTAAACACTTTCAAAACTGTGCACACAAGCTATTCATCCAATAACACGAAATTTCTGTGATCGAAGATACAATATCACTAACGTTTTCCAAAGAAGCAAAAGTTACGTTATAAGATAAACATTGTGATCGAACATTTAAATTAGAAAGTTCTACATCAGCCATATGTGACATGTGTAATGAAGGAAATCCTGAGTTAGTTGTATTTGCGATGCAGGGCAACAATGACGTCATCCCCTCCCGGACGCAGCTGTACCAGTGTACCCTGGGAAAATGCCGCCCGTTTCCACGCCATCCGCCCGCCCGCGTTGGCATTGAATGTCGATCATTATGAACTTGACTTACTTTTATTGTTTATATACGTTAAATTATAAATTTTGCATTCGTATTTAGATAAATCATCAAAATTTCGATTGGCTTTCTATAATTTATGAGTTATTTTAAACTATTTCAATTGCTTCGAGAAGTAGAAAAATAAGATTTTGTCCATTTCAGCACGTTTCCCTTCTTCGTTCTTTAATTTCTCACCAAATCGATAAGCCTTGACCAAGTATAGGAATGATAAGAAAACATAATAGTTTGCGTGTATTATGTGAGTGAAAAATACAATTAGAAAAAACTTTTTAAATTATCTTCAATAGTTAATTGATGCATAATTAAGTACAACTTACGTATCAAAAGCGGGCAAGCTGACGTTTTAAAACTATTTAAATATAAAGTAGCTATGTGTATATAGTATGAGTTATAAATATGTATTGCACTATTTCGAAGAAACCAAGCCCAGAACAAAAGCCTCGAGGTGTCAATAAAGATTCTCAACTGCACTTACCGTGGTAAGAGCCTGTCACAGTTTCTTAGACTCAATTCGATCGAAGTAGGCAGCGCTATCTATTCTTAGATGCATAAGATCAAGTGGGTAAATGGGGATGTGGCTACAATTGCATTTAGTAGTTATAGGTGTAGACCAAGTCTAGCGCAACCGCCTCGTCTAGACGGCGCGGCGGGTCGGGTCTCTCCGGGTCTCGGTAAAATTATGTGACGGTAACGATATTAACTGATTGAGCTGTTAATGATTATATAATATAATAGTGATGAGCCCGATTCGGTTTAAGCCGAAACCGAATTTCGATATAAAATTTGAATCAAATTTTGAATTGAGACAAATTTTATTTCATATCATTTTTTTTTAACTTTAAGTCAATTCTTTAATACAAAAAGTTCAACAATAAGATAAGTACATTTTAAATGTAATGACGAAATTTATAATAATAACTTGAACCGAAATTCGGTTGAAAGCTACAGTTCAGTTCAAGCTGCCAAAAGTAAATTAAACAGAATGTGAATCGACTTTAGTTGTATATGTGTGTTGTGTTTTAGTAGTGAGTTTCTGGTGTTTACAATTAACTCATGGAGAAATTTGTTACAAAAAGGTACCGCGTCTCGCCACGCTTAAAGGAAGTGGTAAGTATTTACTTTAGAATAAAATAATGGCGACGTAACGCGTTACGTTACAAAGCAATTTATCCTCCGCCCGGTGCCGCGTCCCACATCTGTAATACAATTTTACGGCCCACTGGCTTTAAAAAGTGTTATTTGATTTATGAAAATATAGCGAAAAGAAAACCTTCCAAATACAATGATATCTTGATTAGAGAACAATGCATCTTATGAAACTAGCTTGTAATTTATCTTGCTTTATGTTGTGATTAGTCCGGTTTCTATCTAACCGACAATGAAGCGAGATACAAGTTCCTATTCGTATAATTAAAGGTTTGTTTTTGAAATACATGAGTTATGCGGTATTGAAATAATTTTATGATTCAACATAATTTTAAATTATTACTCAAAACACAACATATTCAATGAAAAAGCACCAATTCCAAAAAAAATATTCATTCAACTAAATTAATATTTTTAAAGTATTTAAAATAAACCATTTAATCCAATAAATATCAGATACGTTGTGAATTGCCGATGGTGATTCTAAAATTCATTTATGTTTTATTAGAAATTTTAATTGGTTTTCAGTCTCATGAAACATAAAAATCTGATAGTTGAATATGAGCTACTTGGTAGTGACTTCTCGATTCATTGTTATTCTTATATTATTATGTGAAGTGGTAAATAAAAAAAATACTGCATTCATTATTTAATAGTAGTATACATTGTATTAATACAATTACATAATTTCCAGACTTCAACTCAGTCTAAGAAGAAAAGTGGTTGGTATCATTCTTTTGATTGTTATTTTTTATACAGTGGCTTTATATTAATATATACGTATTCTTCTACGTTACGTGTATAACTCAATAGATCATAGACGGGAAGAAAGCGCTGAAACTATACATCAACTAAAAGATGATAGTGTAGCAAGTAAAGAAGAGAAACATAGAAGCAAAGAAAGTGCTTCTGATAACGGAGACAAACAGAAAAATGACAGTAACGCTAATAATAATGATGAAGATTTGGATGGGATGAGTGATGATCACCAATTCGTTGATAAACTTAATAATGATGAAATCAAACACGATGATGAGGAAATTAATGGTACAATCATGCTTCATGATGGAATTACTAATTAGGTTTTTTTTAAATATTATAAGTCATTTTATTTCAGCGGAAATAAGGCCTTTCACAGTGGGTAGGTAGAATCCTTGTATGTTTATAAATTATTTTATTACTTACCTTAAATTACCAATGTTCCAATAATTGTATAACAGGAGACACATTTACTCCACCGGAACTACTACCGATAACTGAGAAATTACTAAAGAAAGGTAACTCAACATTTGTAAATGACTAACTTCTGTATAACGAAATTTGTTGATTTATTATTATTGTCTGAATTACATTTTTCAGTACACAATCCAGGAGGTATGTATTAAGCAATTTTAATAACACTTACTTGATTAATATCGATATGAAATAATAATATACTGATATTTGCAGAAGGAAAGGGTTTTGTAAGCTCTACAAAGAGTCCAGAGGAACTTGCAGATAAGCTGTTCGAAGCATTCTGTAAATAATTCCGTTATATACGTCATGGTACATTTATATTACATATTTCAGAAATAGCGTTTCTTTTACAGTTATAACATTCAAACGTATTGTTACCCTGGCAGGTACATTTACTTTTTAATATAGCATTATAGATATTTTTACCATTTTAATTTATGTCTATGTTCATTTATACTGTCTGTAGTTTACGCGAGTAGTACAGATTTGAAATAAAACACTAACAGTTAAACGCGATATATTTTTTAGTTGAAGTTGTTTGAGAATTACTTATTTTTAAATACGGCCCGTTGTTTCGGATCCTAGCCGTGACTACGGCTGCTGCAAGCACCGCGTTTTAAACCGTAAAAAGTGTTTTATTTATATGTTTATATATATTTCTTTACTCTTTAAGAATCAATAAAATTATATGCCTCTCTTAATAATGATAATTAAGAATGGGACATTTTATTTTTTATAGAAATCGATATCGATGGACTTGACGCATTACAAGCGCTTGCTCTCAGTGGTGAAGGTAGTTTAATAATAACTACATCCCATTATTACTTCTGGATCCGTTCTATAACGTATACTTATTGTTTTCTTAGAAGCTGTTCAGAATTCTACTGAAGTTATTGAACCTGGAAAAACGATGCTTTTAAGAGGTATTATTGTAACATAACATATGTTTTTTTTCTAACATTTTATTAAATAAATATTATTTTAGGTCAGATAATCAAAGTTGATAGTTATCCAAAAAAGTGTAAATACCAACGTAAGTAGTAGAACATTTGTTTATTTAATAATAAAAAAGAAAAGAATAAGATTTACTTTACTTAACTTTTTAGTTATTATGAAAAATCTTCGAAATGAAAATTATTTACGAAAGGGAAAACGCCGAGGTATTTGATAAAGTTATCAGTATTAATTCACTAATTTGTAACAAATTATTGAAATATTTTCTATTTCGAAACAAGGCGTTGATTTGGCAAAGAAACTGAGAAAGAAGAGGGTCCTAGTGGTTAATAAAAGACGGAGCGGAAAAGGTAAATCTTCCATTATAAAAGCTGACGGGTTAATAAAAATTAACAGATCCTGGGTTCCATCCCCACCGTGTCCAACATTTTTCTAATAAAATTATCACTTTCCTGAAATATGTTGGACTGCGTCTGGAAATCTGGATATAAAAGGTCAGAAGTAATATCAAAATTTCGTCAGGGTCGCAAAACACTGATGAAAAAGCAGTCTAGCGCAATTTACCTACCAACAAGAATGAACATTCTAGTCAGTCTTCCTTTCTAATAAAAAGAAATAGATAATCAGTCGGGAAGTCAAGACGAAAAGTTGTTACTCTATTGCAGGAGACGCTAAAGAACAATCGAAGTGTCATTGGAGATATGAATGTACATCTCCTAATGAACTAGATTCGTGTCGACTTTTTACACTATGTTCTTCTAACAAGACTACACTTAAGAATACTCAATGTAAGACATCTGCGTACTAGACTACATATTATGTACTTTAAGTAATTCGGGTAAAAAAAGTTGGGCTCAATATTTCACTCAAGAATTTAACTTCTGATATATCGATTGATAAAGCTCAAAAGATACATTCTATTCATATTTTTAATCCGCAGATAAAGAAGTTCCACGTAAAAGCGATGAACACTCAAAGGCTATACAACAGTTTAGGAAAATGTGTATGTAAAAAACCTTATTTTTTATTATGACATGATAAACTCTTTGGAAGACTTTACCATTTATGTAGCTGGCTACATAAATGGTAAATTCTTAACTTTATATAGTTTAACATCAACTGTTTTAGTACGATTATCCGAAATAGACGAAGAGGTAGAGAAAATTTGTAAGTACCTAATAGTTTTCCTTGTATACATTTATACAATTATTTGCAACATGTCTTCTAATCTTTCTATATTTTTTGACAATTGCAGTGGAAAATCGAGTTATTCGTATTAAACCTCAAACTTTGAGTAAGTATGTTGAAACCGTAATATACCAACAAATTAAAAAAGAAGTGGGGGCATTTTTAATCGTAAGTTTGAAATTTGACATTGGTCATTATTTATATACATTTTCAGACGGAGGCAACAAAGTTGAAAGAGTCGAAAGCCTCTCGGAGTATTTTAACAACATTTTAATGATTCAAGCGCATGGTATGTATAATTAATTTAAATACATTAATTCAAATTTTACTTGAAGTAAGATTTTGTGTCATGTTTTGTGTATAAGTCAAATTGCAATAACATTATCAGATGCAACAACTGCTTTTACTCCAACTGAAGCCGAAGAGACCAGCACGGATAATATTGAAAATGAAACAGAACAGGTAATTATTACCTTTACGCACTATTAGAAGAGAGAGAAAGATAGAGACATGCGATACATGCTTTTTATTTTTTTTAGGCTACAATTCCTTCTGATAACGATGATAAAGATGAAAACCACGAGACAACACAAACGGCCCCGGTGTTGCGAAAAAGATCAAGGTCATTAGGCAAAACGAATAAAATGCAACGATCGTAATATGATGATGAAATTAGTTATTTTATTGAAGTATTATATTACTAATTAATATATCACTTATTCAGACAATTCGCTTAACATTAGAATTTAAGCTAGATTGAAACAATCGAGTTATTTTAACTTAAATTCTTTTGTTTTATTGACTAAGAAAAGCAAATATTGATTCGCTTATATAGTTTGTTAAAAACCTATAAAATATGTATAATGTATGCTACTCTCGTAAAATACAAACAAAGCTTACATATACTCTAGGCCTATTTCTAGTAATCGTTAACTTTAAAAGACAGCTCTGAAAAGGCTAAAGGTTACACGCGCCATTCCTTTTACAACGATTTCAATAATTCTTGATGTGGGACAAGGCCTTCAGGGCTTCAGCGTCCACAGTATACAAGTACACAGTGCATCCCGGAAACAGGTGACAGTATTCAAAGACATTCAAGGTAACTTCGACACATAGACAACTTTACAATATTATGGTATTATTAAAAGATGCATTTGTGACGAATCAAAGACTGGGGATTATTTGAAACTTGGTTTTACATACAAGAAAAGAGAACTATGGGCCGCCAACCCAAAATGACGGGAAATATTTAATTTCGTGGCCACTGAACAACGTTATTTTTCAAGCACACAAATCCGAATGTTTAAGACTCGAGACAAAAAGCAACGCCATCTGATAAATTTTATGGACAATGTAGTAACTTTACTGTCTCTATATCTATACTCATATATAAAGCTGACGCAGACGACGTCGAAATTTATATCGTTGAACAGGAAGTTTTCAAAAACAAATTTTCACACTAAAGATCATTTCTACGCGGACGAAGTAGCTGACACAGCTACTACACAAAGTTACAGTGTTCATAAAATATAATTATAAAATTAATCAGAGTAACAAAGAGTACCTTCCGCCAAGACTAATTCAGTGAAACAAAGCGAACTCTGACCGCTTCAACGAGGTTTCATACTGCATGTGACAAGTTAACTTGCAACTGGGGACCAATACAATTTCGAAGTTATATTAAAGTTGCGGTATTCATTTCAATCGATAGTAAAAAGAGGCCAACGGGGACTTGTCAGCCGCCATTTTCTATTTTAATGAGTCAGGTCATCTCCTGTTCCTTTTCATTTTTTAAAATAAACTTTTTAATTTTATAGCGTGCCAGCGTAAAAGGATTAGAAACTGAAATAAGATTGCACTGAGATGGTTAAGCTGTGGTCATCCATTAATGCTATGCTGTGTACAGCGTAATGCTTACTATAGAACTGTGTTTGGTAAATCGTATGCGCGATAGACGTCTGGTGTACTATAGTAGGCCACAAATCACATTAACATCTAGGTACTGTCGATATAATTTAGCTTTCGACATTCAGAGCGTGAAAGAAACAACACGAGAACATTTCTAGCAATGACGTATTACTGCGTTTAAAGGAGACCGCAGCATAAGTCGTTAAGGGGAAATTAATTTACTTTGCACCAGATTACTTTAGTGCTGTTTATTTTATAATGAATCGGCAGGGAAGGTGAGCATACCCAATTATGCTTCGATCAGAGCGTGGCGTCCGACCGACGGCGTGGCGCGTGCGGTCGCGCTAAATGGATTATTGGTCTCAGTCGCCGCCGGTGGATTACCTATACTAGCCTAGACTATACAATACACTATTATTGTGGTATGAATTCCGGTTTTATAGTCAACCCATTAGACAGTCACTGTTATGTTCCCTCTAGACACCTCATGACGTATATATTTAGAATTATTATGTACTTATAAACCAGGTATTATGATTATTATAACAAGCTGTCTTGCAATATATGCTGAGGCCAATCTCTTTCTTAAACAGATAAGAAAAGATTCCGTTTTAAATAGCTCGAAAAACTATTAAAAATGTTTAATTGGAAACTGTTTAGAGACAACCTGTATACTGTTTTCGCTATCAGGTTTAGTTACGAAGACTCAGCCATCCGTAACCTCATGATATAATTCGATACAGTTCCATCAGCGCCTGCACGAAATTCCGCCAGATCCCCTTATATCGTTAGGAGACCCTTATTTAGATGGAAACATCCTCGTCTTCCTTGACGTGAAAATTGATTATAGAACGAATTACTTGGTCTATTCGATTTATTTTATGTTAAATAGAATGATTAATTGTTTTTAACTGTATGGTCTATGTCTATGCACATTTCATGGTTTGAAAGAAATATGTATAGTAACAGAAAATGACGAATGTTTGTTATTCTTTGTTTTAGAAATAATACTTTACTGTTATCGTACGTAGCCAAAATCCCATTTCAGCATGGGTCAGAAGAATTTTTGCCTATTTGAATTTAGTGGTGATAAACGGGGCCTAAGTGCCGAATCCGGGAACTTTTTAACTGCAGTCAAGTGCACTAACCTGACTAACTAAGCAATTAAAACTGCAGAGTCCGACTGAACTAAAAAATTATATCTTAGGGAGTACACTCAACACGCTTAAAAACAATACAAATAGGTTGTACTGTAACATGTGTTTTTTATACAATAAGAATAGAATGTATGTACACGCCTTCAAAATGTTTTATTGGGCAAATCGAAGAGCAATATTAGCAATGATCAAGGGAACAACTCAACAAAGAAAAGCGAAGAGCGCCTGTTGCAGTCTCGTTTATTTCATAAAAAAAGCAACAACGGCATCGTCGACGCGGAAACTCTGATAGCAGCCAGACAAACATTGAAATGTTGTTTTTCTTTGTTATATTTCATATTGAAGAGATGAAAAACTAACATAAACATTTTTCCGATAATGGCAGAGCCGGTTTATGTTGAGATGTACCGATAATAACATTACTAGAGACTTGTGAATCGAAACCGAATTTGGGCGAACACTAGGTTACAATGACAAGCCGATGCGAATTTAAGCCGAATTTCGGTTTATGTTTATTAATAGAGATTGGTTTTCTTAATAAGCTTTGAGGTGTTTATAAATAATATGATTTTTCATTTAGCGTATAGATATACGCTAAATTAAATTTGTTTAAAATAGATATTTGAAACAAGATTAGGTAGGTACTTCGTAAATAACATAGGTGTGGGGTGTTTGCTCTTATTCAATTTTTTCGTGTCACTGCAATGCTATAATATTAAATAAAATATAAAGATTAGAAACATAACAATACAATATATGATATTATAGATTGTATATGTATTCTTGATTTCACAAACAAAACAAAGTCTAATCGAATTCGAAATCGAATCGTCGGTTCAAACAAATAAAAATCTTGATAGTTCTGCTCTATCGTTCATTCTCAGTACGAGTATGTAACTGTTTATCTATGCCTAGTAAGAACGAGCGCGGACTCATAAGACAAACTGTTATAGGTTAATTTACGTGATTTAATAACTCCTAAATTTACTACTTCCTATTCGTAACATGTTACGTAAGTGCTGCTTCAGAATTGCATAGCGTTCACTTCGTACCAAACATAACAGGTAACATAACTAACGCGCCAGTCTATGCATCTAGGTCAATGGACGGTTCGCAAAAAAACAACAAAGTTAATTAAAACCTGGAGCAGAGATAAAAAATCCTATTCAGCCGAACGCGGAGATTGCATTTGTCCAATACAAATGGTGTCGGTTATTTACTTAACCTCTTTTTTGGATAAAAGTACACGCCCTACTGTGAACAGTAAATGGCGTTATCTTGTTATGTTTATGCTTGTTTTAAAGTTGACGTAAAAAAGTCGTAACTGACTTGACTAATTGTGTGTTTCAAAGTAATTCCTGCTCTGTTTTCTGTTTGTTTTACTCGCTACTGTAACTTTTGCTACACAGACACACTTGAAATTACAGCACCTTATTCTTCGTAAAATGAGAAACAAGGGGAAGTTCTCCCTTAAATCAAGGAATGGCGCCGTACCTTAGAAACAAAACAAAACACGAAGGGGATCTGGGTGGGGTATGTGTAAAATCACATCGATCTTACAGGAGGCACAACAAAATTGTACAGGCTATAAAAGACTCGGAAAATTTTAGATAAAATTATAAAATACAAACCTAGTAGCTCAGTGTCGAACTAAGAACATGTAGCTGGCATCTGAAACAATAAAAAAATAATATAATAAATAATACTTATAACGATTTAAAACTGGAAATATATATGTTTTATTACATTAAAATAAGTTAACTAATATATTTTTTGTTGTTATACCGTTAAAATTGTTTTATAAGCATGTAATACTCGCGTTAACTACAGACAATGCAATACATATGTTGTAAAATAGTAGTAACCAAGTTTGCTGACGTTTTTTATGCCACTTTTGGACAGAATAATTCCATTGTACCCGGTGGCATCAATTAGCCAGCTTTACTCGTAGCATTGTCACATTGACATATTTAATTACTGACTAAAATGTAACTAAAATACTCGCAAACAAAAATAATTGGGCGCCTGTAAACAATCGATAAGAATAACTCCTGCACAACAATGAACGGATTTTACTGTGCTGTACGTATTGCATGGCTGCTTACGCTCAACACAATATGGCGTGTCAAGGGTGGTAATTAGCGATCGTTTGCGTACCAACCGTATTCTCAAGAGTTCCGGCGTATCGTGCCATGCATTCTTAACCACAATAGGTACTCTGGACGCCTTCGTATTGTATTCAGGAGTCTCGCAAAACAAAATTATATTTCGTTCGTCAACTGTGTAAATTTCCACCCTTCCCCGCAGTCTTGAATAACATTGGTGTAGACTATAGTATAGTTTAGTATTTACCAATTAATTAGATAAGAAATATTGAGGTACGATTAGTATTAACTTTTTTACCTTCTCGTTACACGTTTTCTTAGTTTTTTTTTGTAGATGTTAGGTACATAATAACTATTAAAATAAGTAACCTTAAGTAGTTTTAAATACTGTCTATAGTTACGCAAGTAGTACACATTTAAATAAAACACTTGAACGGTTTAAAACGCGATATATTAGTTAAACTTATTTGAAAATGATTTTTAACTTCG